CATGCCCAGCTAATTTTTTGTATTTTTAGTAGAGACGGGGTTTCACCGTGTTGACCAGGATGGTCTCGATCTCTTGACCTTGTGATCCACCCGCCTCGGCCTCCCAGAGGGCTGGGATTACAGGCTTGAGCCACCACGCCCGGCCACGAGACTGACTTTTAAAAGATGTGGGCATACAGAGAAAACAGACAAGGAGCTATTAGTGAAAGAAAAAGATTTAAAAATGGCACATATGCAAGAAAGTACTGACCACAGAGAACAGCTGAGTACAGTGGCAGCTCAGATGGGACAGCACATAGAGTTCATGCAAAGGCGGCTGGAAGATACTTCTAGGATACAGAAGGCATTGAAATGCAGACCAAAGAATTTTATATTTTACCCTGAGGAAAGCAGGAAACTCTTGAAAATGTTTAGGCATGGAATACGCATGAACAGGATTATTTTAAGGACATTAATCTACCAGAAATATGCAAATTGGCTTAGAGATGGCAAAATCTGAGGGGGTACTCTGGAGAACTAAGACAGAAGTCCAGCTCAGAGGAAAGAGCAACCAGAACAGGGCAAGTGGCAGTGGTGCTGGAAGGAAGGAATTAAAGATCTTTAGGAAGTATTATGGGAGAGCTTGGCAATTAGATGCCAAGGGTATGAAAGGTAAAGGTAAAGGGAAGGGTAAAGGGAATGAAAAGCCACAGCCGCAAGTGAAGAGGAAAAGGAAGTTTTAAGATTATATACATATATATACATACATATATATATATATTTTTTTTTCCTTTTATGGAGTTTGGGAAAAGATAAAGGGGGTAGAAAAAAATTGAATTTAGTTTGAGCACATAGAGTCAAGTAAAAACGTTCGAAGGAAAATTGGAAAGGGGTCTGCACTTAGGAATGAAGTTGTAATTAGAAGGAAAAATAATCAATTATTTTATAGAGATGAGAGTTGAAGACGTGAAGTGGATGCAAAAAGGAATGCCAGGGAGAAGAATTCTGGGGCAAGTTCATATTGAAAGCCAAGGGCAGCTAGTCTAACAATGTTTATTGATATAGGAGGAGCCAAAAAGGGAAGAGAGGCCCAAGGAAGGGTACCAACACTGGTGAGATGCAAATGAGACTGGAATGTTACATTTAATGACTAAGTCATTTCTTGGTGAGCTTTAAAAATAATTTAAATATTGCAGAGCCAATGTTTTGCAAGATAAATCTGGCATCATTCTGATGTCTCACCAAAACCTTAACTTTTAAATTTAACGTATTTTCTGTGCTTTGTCTCTGCCTCCTCCATCCTGTAACACTCTTAATTTTGACCCCTACTTCTTCAGAGGCATTAAGGAATGCATGCGCTGAGGAAGCAGAAAAAGAAGGTATCTTTCAGAGGTGACAGGTTTCATAAGGGAAATCTAACTGATTAGAAGAATCTACATGAGGAGAAAGTAAAGTGTGTTCCAAATTTCACACTGACTTTGCATTTGATAGTTTAATCCTTAAGTGCTATTTATTTAAAAAATACATAATACAAGAGTCGGTGTGACTCATATCACATATCCTATTACATAATTACATAACATAGGTCGTCCTTATCATGGGGTTCACTCCTTACCAAA